GCGATTTTGAAGTCAATTTCATAATGCCCCTGTCAGAGAAGCACTCGTTGCTAGTGGCAAAACTGGGGCAGTCGGTTTACACAAGCTTCTCTTGAGGCAAATCTTTTATAAGCAAAATCCACCGGACTATAAGGGCGATGCATAAGAATCTTCCAGAAGCTCCCGGTGCGGTGATGAAACATAATTCCTCTCCTTCCTTCCTTCAGACGGTCCAATTTTTGTCCATAATGGTACGAAAGTAGAGGATTCCCTGCCAATCACATCAACAACATGGCGAAACTTCTACTTGAAAAGATGCTCTTTGAGTTTCATTAAGGTACCTCACATACCATCACCAATATGTAAGGAAGGTCAACAGCATATTTTAAAATTCTGATATTAGGTGGGTAAGGCAAGTTTTCACCCGATTTTATCCAATTTTTTGACTTTGCGGCTTAGTTATGGCAATTTATAGGATTTGCATTTGGCCAAGGAAATTTATGAACAATAGTTAGAAGTTTATAAGGATTCCTCACCGTTGAGTTTTGGACTGGTGAATTTAAAAGTGGTCGTACTAGGCTTGAAGACGATCCACGCGAATGACGACCAAAACCCACAACCACACAAAAAAACAAATTTCTCAGCATAATTTGGAGCGGTTTAAACAAAATAAAAGCGACGCAAGAAATTTTATAACTATGGATGACCTTTGAAACTTGGATCTATAACCATGATCCTAAATTGTAACAAGAACGTTTACAGTGGACTGAAGCTGGTTGTTCAGCTAAAAGAATCAACTCTGAATACTATTGCAGCCTTTTGGATCAGCCGGATGAAAAAATTCGTGAGGAAAGAACTGGTTTGCAGCACAAAAAAATCATTTTTCATCAAGGCAATCCACCTGCTCACAAAGGTGTGTTAACAATGACAAATTTCAACGAATCAATCAAACGTACTTTAACGAATTGCTTGAGCATAGAACCAAAGACGAAACGATTCACCTAAATTTTTAAGGAATATCAATCATAAGGCTGCAAAGGAATCGAATATCGAGAGCAGCACAACAAATATCGACGTAAATTTTTGTGGAATATAAAACACACACACACACGCAAATTTGTGTTTCTCTGAAGGATCTTAGCAATCAAGGTAAAACAGGCTTTTATTTACAAATTCGTTGTTTTTTTTTTGTTGCTTCCAGAGTTGCCTTCAAGCTGCTAGTTCAACTATGTACATCCACTTAACATTATTCCTTTCTAAATATGTGTCCCTAGAGCAACAACAACAACAAGGTCTCCCTGTTAACGAACAAAAAGTGAAGGAAAAAGGTAAGAGGCAGCAAAAAGTGCATTCAACTCCCTTTCATATTCGCAGTCAGCGATCGGCCGCTGTAAATTTCCAGTACAAATGGGCTAAAATCGAAAGGTTAAAAGGAGTCACTTACACATACACATACACACACACACATACACATGCATACACATACAGTTCTAGATACGATTGCAATGCGCATTGCCTTTGCAAAGCAAAAGAATTCGCTGTTGTCGCTGCGCTAGCCACAGTTCTTTTGAATAGATTTCAAACTGGTTTTGCGTCGTCACCGCAGAACAGCAACAACAACTAAACAACAGATGATGCACTTGCACATTTATTTGCAATCTCTTTGGCAGTAGCTTCATGGTTAATAGGTATCGAATGCACTGTGTGGTTTGGTTGCGGTGTCCCACCTCACCTTTAGCAGTTCAGCGCTGTACTCCGCTAGCGCCGGACGGGTCTCCATGTGCTTGAATAAATGCATATAATATTCTTTTGTCACACTGCGTTTGCCACTTCGTTCATTTAACGACGCCGCCGCCGATTATCTAGGTAGGCAGCAACCAAAAACCATAGTCATTATCACCGCCTCCACCGCAGCCTCTTTAAGCGTAAGGCTTGCATTTCAGCATACTTGTAAACTCTTTTCAAGGTCGCTCGCAGACAAATTTGAAATGTGAAAACCCGCGGTATTCTTCTCTTAAATTGCGAAGATGATGCATATAAAAGACATGGCTATTCACGACTTGTTTAAGTGGTTCGCAGCAATGGCGGGCGGTGTGGTGAACGGACGCACTTAAGCCATCAAATAGCCCATTGTGTTAGTTAGCTGTGTGTTGGATTAGCTAGCTAAAGCTTGATTTTTCTCAGTTCTCTGTATTCTTCAAAAACAATCTTTTAATTAATAGTCTAGACGGATGTCTAGACCCTTTTTGGATCGTGCAGGCTTGTTTCGTTGGGGTCGGACCATAGGGAAAGAAGTTTTAGGTGAGTTGTTGTCACGCAAGGAGGTGGTTAGAATAATGTTTATACTCATTACATGCAGGACATAAGTTTAGTATGTCAAGACGATTCTGGATAAGAAGTAGTTTAACCTGCTACAGTATCCAGAACGAAGTTGCGCGAGGGTTACTCTGGATGCGAGAGGCAACTCAAGCTCTTTTTCTGCAATGGATAATGGTTGCTTGCTAAGGATGCTATTCACTGGAAAGGAGTCAGTGAAGATGTTACTAGCTCCACTGTGAATGGTGTTCAGTGCTTGTCGGTAAGATACTCTATGTCGTCGACGTAATCTAGGATTGTGCACTGGATATTACTTCAAGGCGACACCGCTGCAAGCAGTTTTCTGCAAAGGTGATTTCTGTGACTGCTTCCGCGCAGAAAATGCCTGGAGAGCAGTTTGTTATGCTCTTTAGTTGAAAGCATATGGGCCACGCTGTCTAGGTATTCCATTGGAGACATCAAGAGTTGATATATCTGTAAGTTGGCATGTTTAGTTCTTCGTCAGTCTCTTACCTTTCTTTTTTCAACAGGCGTTGTTTTCTTTCATTTCAGTTTCTTCTGTCGACAACGATCTCTCAGCGGCGTCTGATGGCAACTTAGCAGCCTCTTTTCTTTATACTACAGTCGCTGAAAACCGAAACCAAATATTATATGTAAGCGACAACCCAAATAGTGAGAAATGCGGACCTAATGATTTTTTATACCTATGTATATCAAATCTTGAATTTATGTATATTTTTAGGTCTGACAAGAAGCAGTTCGTCCATTGTCGGATACCCTTTTGATATATGATTTATGACATATAATTTAAACCCTCAACCTGAGTCATAATCAGTCTTTTCTTCATTAAAAGTTTATCCACCATCATACGAAAGACTCCCTCTGCGCACTTAGAATAGAAAGGCAGCAATATGACTTTGTCTTCATGAGGACAGCAAGCGGCCGTAATGGAGACATCTTCGTCTTAAGGGATCCGATCTTTCTGGTTCATATGTACTTTTCAGAAATATTTTTATATATTCGAAAAAGCATTTTACCGTTAATCAAAGCACCATGTTGATCATCTTGATATTTTCGATACGATATTGGATAATATTCAATTAAAACAAATGACTTAAGCACTTAACCGTTGCTCAAAAAAAAGATGGTACAAATTGGAAGAAAAAAAAAAACAGACATAAAAACGGTAAATATAAATAAATCTATATACGTGTGTAAGTATAAAATATTAAAATCTATGCAGATTTCATTTGGTAGGTATATTACCTAGTTTAAGCTTCGTAAATAGTTTCACAATCAATATTTCCTTAGTTATTAATGTAATATCATACATATTTGATAACAAAATAAGTCTTTTGCACTTATACATTTTTATTTACATTATAAAATATTGGCTCATAATTAATTCTTTCATCATACTACGCCAAAAAGCAAACCTGAATATTTAAAGGCGCTGAACAGCTGCTCGTCAAATAACGACCCTGTTTTTCTTTCTTTCTCTCTCTCTTTCTCTTATACCACCATTTCGCAAAAGTTTCGCATTGAGTGTAAACAATTGTATTTATTTATTAGAAAAAGCTTAAAGTATAATACATAAATGAATTACAACAACAAAAGGCCGGCGCGTCAAAACTCAACAAGCTTCAGTGCAGCCTCCGCCGGCACCAATTCGGATGGCAGTGGAACTACAACACCAACTTTACTTTTGCAACAGCAGCCACAGACTATCGCATCACCACATGCATTGCAGCATCAGCTCTCCAATAGCAGCACCAGCAGCGCAGCTGGCATAGCAAGTGGACTTGCAGCTAGCACTGGAGCTGATGATGCGCCCGTCACATTGTTGCCCGAAATTTCCGACATCATGCGTAGCTTTGGAGATAGTGATCAGCCACGCATGGAAAGTGTAAAACTGGTCGAACATATACTGCAACAACAATTGCGTGGCATGTTCAACGAGGCATCGCTGGTGGCTATGCGACGCAAAAACAGTCCATGTCCAACGCAAGCAGATTTTGAATTTTTAATGCGCAATCATCCAGTAAAAATAGCACGTATGCGCAAACATTTGAAGGATATGAAGATATTAAAACGCTTCTTAAGCATACGCACTGGACGTCCACAAGATTTTATGGATGACACGGAGCAACAAGAATCTGAGGATGAGCTCGCCATAGAGGTGCCAGAATTGTTCGATGAAGAGCGCACACGTAGACTCTTTCGTGCAGACCGCATTTCGCAGATACTAACTGGTCAACAATATTTAGAATTCAACGAAGCGCGCAAGACGTCCTTCTACTGTCGTCATGGTGAAAAGATTAAAAATAAATTTCGTCGTTTTCTCGATTTGCCGCCAGATCTACGCATACCAACAACCACAATGAATATTTTGGCATATTTTGCACATGAAACCATCGCAGTGATTGTAGACTATGCTATATTGACGCGCTTAAATTCGGAGAATCGCGTAACGGAACCATATAGTCGTATTACATCGACAGGTGCTTCGCCGGCAATGTTGCACATTTGCCCCGAAGTAACGCAGGGACGCGGCATGGAGGTGGTACGACCCATTAGTGTACAGGAGATACACGAAGGCATGCGACGCTTTCGACAGATGACCAGCAAGAAAATCGGTTTCTATCGTAGCTCATGTGATGCCGATTTTCGTCGCTCTTTTCTCGCCATATAAACACGTCAAACAATTCGTTTTTGCAGTAACTCCAGTTAATGTTGGATTAAATCGCTTACATATATCTCTATTTCTAAAATTAAGACTGCTCACATAAATAAAGAGTATATGCCTAAAATTCTGTAAACTAATTCATTATCTGATCCACTAATTGATTTAGACCTGCTGGTGTTGCGTCAATAGCATATTGATCCTTGACGCCTTCTTGCTGATATATTCCGTCCTGATATATTTCTTCCACATATCCTCCTTGAAATATTTGTTCTTCGCATCTTTCTTCCTCATATTTTTTATCCTCCATATCTAGAGCACGTACGGCGCTTTGATGCGACTTCGTCTCCTTATGCTGTTTCAAGTGATGTTGCAAGCGAAAATCCTTGTCACAATATTCACAGTGATAAAATTTGATGTCAGCATGTATTAGTTTATGTTTACCAAGCGCATGTTGATATGCGAAAGCTTTATTGCACACATCGCAAACGTAGGGTTTGACGCCGCTATGTATGCTGTTGAGAATAAAATTTTATATGAAGAAATGTTGTTTGAAATTTATTGCAGCTCTTACTTACGCTTCATGTGCCTTCTTTACACTTTCATAGAAAAATGTTCTACTACAGAAGGAACATTTAAATGGCTTGCCACCTTTATGTTGGTACATATGTTTGCGCAAATGCTCGCGGAGATGAAACCGTTTATCGCAGATTCTAAAATGCAGTATTTGAATTGTTTCAATTTGAAAGTATTTTTTATAAGCACTTACTCGCAAGCATAACGCAACTCTTTGTCGTGCCTTCGTCTATGCTCTGTCATGCGACCACGTTTAGCAAAAATATTACCACAAACATCACAAATATACTTTTTATTATCATTGGATTTAATCTTTTTCTTATAGGGACCTCTTGTGAACGACATTTTATCTTCTACGTCTTTTGCACACAACCCAGAGCTTACTGTATTATCACATTCTTCGGTTTTATTCGTAGTTGCTGAGGTATTCTCTGTAACACATAATTCTTTTACGCTTTTATTATCTGGACTTACATCCAAGTGTTGTAACTCTGTTCCGGACATGCTAGTTATTACATTACTTTCGGTATAAAATTCGTCCAAGTACTCTGGTTTGCATTCGTCTTCATTTATTTCTAGATTTTCCTGCTCTTCATTTCCCATGTTAATATCATCAATGTCGGAAAATGACATTTCCAACATTTCTACTTTCATATCTCTGCTATTACTTAAAATGTCTTCATTGAGGTAAATCTCTTCCACCGCCGCACTTTCGTGGACCAAGTCCTCGAACTCAACTTTCACAGAAGTTTCAAGGGATCGGTTTACTTTTTCATCGATTTCGTTGCCACTCCTTTCTTGCTTACGATAGGCTTCAATTATCTGATGTGTATGTAGGACCTTAATTCGAAACTGGTAGGCCAAACTAAGTGATAACTCGCAACTCTTACAAATACATTTCGGCAATGTTTCACAGATATTCGCCTGACATGAAAGTAAATACATTACATTTCAATATTATGTCGTTGCAAAATATGTAGAATGATAACTACCTTTTCCAGCGTTATGCCTGCAATGAGACGCAACATTTCATTCGGCGCTTCTTCGCCTTCGTCCAATGGCTCATATAGGGATCGCAGCTTAGAAGTACGCGTCAAGCATATACGACACATTTTAGATCCTATGTCACTCAATTTCATATTAACGACTTCAAGTCTACTTATTGTGATATATTGTATATCGATGACCGATTTATAATAAATTGTTACGCCGCTCTTTTTGTTTACACTTATTTGAATTATCTTGTATTATATTTTATTGGCAGTATGAAGAACTTGTCATTGTTTTTTCAACGATAAACAGCTGTTCCTGACAGCTTTCAATTAGTGTTGCCAAACTGGAAAAAATTTATGAGAATATGCGTATTTGTATAAAGCGTAGATAACGTTAAAGTAAGCTGTCTTCGATTCGCCAAGCATTGGAGAGTAACCAATCGGACAAACTGTACGAAATGTTGAAGCAAACAGGTAGTACTTTTGGTTCAACCCTAGCGCGTGTGATACATTCTTGGTGAAGAAAGTCTCTTTTACGTGGCAGAACACGTTTTAAGAAGTCCTTAGTTTTGTTTTTTATAAACTATTATAATTGATTTTTAGTCTTCATTTGCCATTTGAGCCATTCGCAATAGTAAAACTGACAAATATTTACAGTACGTTTGCAAAAAACTCGATTAATGCGATTAATTGTTCAGCGTTAACTCGTAAATTTTGTATAGAAATATTGCTCTACTTTTGAAGGGCTGAGGATCACCGCCTTTCAAAACGTAAGTTGTGGGTTAAACGCTGTAAAGTTTTAAAATCTGATGTAAAACAATCAAAAGACAGGTATAATAATAATAAAATACTCGTAATTCCGTCAAGTTCGTTTCAATCGACTTGAAATTGACACAATCTTCTTCAATCACACAATCTTCAATCTTAAAAACCCCAACCCCTTAAAATTCTTATCTGAATATTGTCTGACTACGTTGACGTAATGCGTTTGCTACATTCGTTTACGTCATCACATTTTATTCTCCTAGCTTTTCCACAATCTGGCTACGTTTTTTCAGACGAAAATGGAACAAAACAGAGAATAATAAACTTTCAATCCTTGCATTCGGTAAATTTATTGGTTTATATTTTTTTTAATGATACGTGAAATCTCAACATATTGAGCGTAAAAATCGATGGAATAGCTCTCGTAACCGAAGTATAACCGGAGCGCAATGATGGAACAGTGGCAGGAACTTGGTATGGGGAGATTAACTATTTCTGGGTGCGACACTCAATCGTCATCCGAAACAAAACAACAAGCAAAGCCACAAACATCTCAATTGGTACAACAACAAAGTTTTTCATCAATAATGGATTTGCCCGATTTTGGGGACTGCAGTGATGACCACAAATATGTTATCTATAAGCATGATGATTTGTTTTGTGAAAGTTATCCGCTAATGCGTGAAATCCGCAGACAAGGCAAACTTTGTGATGTTACTTTAAAGGTGAGCTGTTCACTTTTGATCTTAAGTTTACCTCAAATTCTGCTAAACTACTTTTAAATTATTTCTCTTTCAGGTTGAAGATCAGTCCTTCTCCGCACATCGTATAGTGTTGGCTGGTACAATACCCTATTTCTATGCCATGTTCACCAACAATATGGCTGAGAGCCGTATAAAGGAGATCACTATGAAAGAGATTGAACCGAACGCACTCGAGAGTCTCATTAATTACGCTTACAGTGGACAAGTGCGTATTGACAACCAGAATGTGCAAAGTCTTATGGTGGGTGCATCGTTTTTACAGTTGACTAAAGTGCGTAATGCTTGTGCCGACTTCTTGATTTCACGATTTCATCCGCATAACGTTTTGGGCATCCGTCAATTTGCGGACTCTATGGGTTGTACCCATTTAATTGAGGCTGCTGACAAGTACATCGATCAGAATTTTGCAAAAGTCGTACAATCCGAAGAGTTCTTGAGTTTAGATTTTGGTGAACTAATCGATCTCATACGACGCGATGAGCTTAATGTACCCAGCGAAGAAATCATATTTGAGGCCTGCATGAAATGGGTAAAACATATGGAAGAGAAACGTGCTATACTTTTTCCACAAGTGTTATCCAAAGTACGTTTACCGTTATTATCACCACAATTTCTAGCAGATCGTGTGGCACGCGAAGAGTTAATACGCTCTTCACATCAGTGTAGAGATTTGTTAGATGAAGCAAAAGATTTCCATTTAATGCCTGAACGACGAGGATTATTGCAAAGTTTCAGGTAAGTAGATGAATTTGATTTTAATATATGCGGGGATTTTATAATAAATTAAATTGTTCATTCATTAGAACACGACAGCGCTGTGGTGAGTTTATTATGGGCCAGATTTATGCAGTTGGTGGACTAGCTAGCAATGGTGAATCGGTGAGCACGGTGGAAATTTACGATCCAGTTGTTAAGAAATGGGAAATGGGCGAACAAATGTCGATGATGCGGTATGTGTGCAATGTTAGAAGAAAAGTTTAAAAAATTCAGTTAAATTATTCGTTTCTTCCTTTTAATTTTGCAGTTCACGTGTAGGCGTCGCAGTTATGGACGGCAAACTGTATGCTTTTGGTGGTTTCAATGGCACCGAACGTCTTTCCACTGTAGAGGTATACGATCCAAAAAAGAATAAGTGGTCACAGGGACGTGCAATGTTGTGTAAGCGCAGGTAAGGTATCATTTGTATATATTATTTCCGAAATATTTTCTATCTGTACAACAACAATAGCAAGTTTAAATGCAAAATTATGACTATTCATTTTTATTTCTATAGTGCCGTTGGTGTGGCTGCCTTAGACGATTGCATTTATGTTTGTGGTGGTTATGATGGTGTAACATCTCTCAATACAGTAGAATGTTACTGTCCAAAGACTGATATTTGGAAGACGGTAAGTGTATATGTATTAATTTCGAAAATGTATTTAAAAAAATTTTTTTTAAACATTTTTATGTTTAATATTTTTGTTTCTGTTTTGATTTTTCACTATTTTTTGTTTTGACTTCGCTTTTTTTTTTGTTTTATTTCTCTTTTTTTAATTTTTCTAATTTTATTTAAAATTAAAAAATAATATATTATTTTCAATTTTTTTTCAACACTTGATTAATTTTTTGTTTAGTTTTTCCATTTTTTTTTATCTTTCTCTATATATGTACTTTTTTTTTTTATTTCTTATTTTTTTTTTAGTATTTTTTATTTTTTTTTTTTTATATTATTTTATTTATTATATTATTGTATTTTTATTTTATTTTTAGTTTATTTTATTTTATTTTTATTTTATTTAATTTTTATTTTATTTTTTTTTTTTTATTAGTTTTTAATATACAATTTTTTATTTATATTTTTTAATTAATAATTTTTAATTTTCCTTTCACCTTTTATTTATAATTTTCTTTGTTAATAATTTGTTTATATTGCTTGCCTTTACTCAGCCCATTTTTCTTTCTTTATACAGGTGGCACCCATGATGAAGTATCGTTCGGCAGGTGGCGTTGCCGCTTTGGGAGGTTGCGTTTATGCGCTTGGTGGTCATGATGGACTTTCTATTTTTGACTCGGTCGAACGCTACGATCCGGTCAAAGATGTTTGGCTCAAAATGCATGCAATGTTAAATCGTCGCTGTCGTTTAGGTGTTGCTGCGCTAAGTGGTAAGCTATATGCTTGTGGTGGCTACGACGGCACATCATTTCTGCGCTCAGTTGAGGTTTATGATCCCATAACGGACACTTGGAGTCTTGTAACGCCTATGAATTGTAAACGTAGTCGCGTTGCTCTAGCAGCCAATATGGGAAAATTGTGGGCGATTGGTGGTAAGTAAAAATTGTAGATTTTATTTATACACGTTTTTTTTTTATATTTGTGTTGATTTTCAGGCTACGATGGTGAGTCCAATCTATCGACAGTCGAAGTTTACGATCCCGAAACGGATAAATGGTCGTTTGAACCCTCAATGTGTGCGCATAGCGGTGGTGTTGGTGCTGGTGTTATACGTAAACAATAATTAGTTTCACTTATTGTACCATAATTAGTAAGAAATATAGCCCACAATAACATTAGTTTATTCTTATAGGTAATTTATTTATGTTTTTAAAAAGCATAACTGCATTTGCTTGCCTTTTGTCGAAATTCTATATGTGTCTTGCTATAACGTATGCTCTATTCGCACGTAAATCATTCCAAATTCTATAGAAAACACTGAACGGAAAATATAAAACTCAAATAAGCTATTGGCTTGAAAACTTTAAAATTAGATATTTACCAAGCCAAAATGTTACATCGCTATATAAAAAATTGTCAATTGTATTCAATTAAAGCTAATATCAAATGAATAAAACAAATACTCTTTTGTCGGCTTTTAGCGAACATTTTCGATCAAAACTCTGCACATTAGGCATTAATTCTAGTAATTGTACATCCTAAAATTTATGTATGTATGTATGTGTTTGCATAAATAGAATTGTAAATTATTGAACTGAAGTAAACACAATGCTTGAAACTAAAACAATTATTGTTGAGAATTAGCACTGAAAGTTTTAGAAATTAGAAAAAATGTATTTATTACACAATTATATTGCATATAAACCAATAAAAGTATATCAATGCAATTACGCTCTCAGTAGATATGTAGTATACAATTCTATTTTCAATTCACTTCCGAAATGCTTAGTGTGTCACTTCCCCATGAAAAAAAAAACAAACGTATGGATGAGATTACCCATTGTTATCAGTGTGCAAATATTAAATTTGCCGCTGTTCATGCAATATATCGATTGTGCACTTTTGCAAATTGGCTTAAATGCTCAACAACCAAGCTGTCCGCCTTTGGCTTACATGCCCGCACACATGTGCATCTGATTGTGTGTTGCTCAGCTGCAATTGCAACAGGTTGTAATCAATATTTGCACAACAATAAATTGGAATACGTCGCGGACGCTTTGTTTACTTTACAGGCTTTTATTCTTTGCTATGCAATTTGCCGGCAATACTATCAACGTATTGGAACGTATGTGTAAATACGGCTGATGCCGGTTGCAATTGCAGTTTTGCATTGTGGGGGGTCGTGAAAACATATATTTTTTTATATACGCACCTTTACATACATATATCAAATACTCAGTACGTATAACAAATGCGTAGTATTTTTATGTTGGTTATTTTTATTTTCTTATTTTATTACTTCCGCTATTTGTTACTACGAAATTTGTTATCATGATGAAGAAGACAGAGTGCATCGTAAGGCGTGCATTTTTTATCATTTTGAAATAACGGTTGCACCCTGTCATTGTTAATTTGAGAAAAGGCTTGTAATTGGCATATACTTTTCGCTGATAAGTTCTTATCGATATTAGTGCTTGGCAATTTAATTAATTTACGCAGTTCCAGAAATTGTAATTAAATTATTTTAGATATAAAGAGATATTTATACATTGATATATGTATATATAAATACAATCATACGTGCGTATTTGTTGTTTAATATGTATGAAAGTGCGTAAGCCATAAATAGCACATAAATACTATTAAAGCACTGTGTCAGTTGTATAAAACAAGATTTATATGAAAAAATGTACAAACATAGATAGCACATATATATGTTTGTATGTGTGTTTTCATGAAAATATTATAGCCCTTCATTCATAACAATTTACTTGTGGGCGTCTAATTGGTTTTCGCACAATAAATTTACTTTTTGTTGACATATGTGTAATAAAAATTCAATTTGTCTCTGATTGTTGGTTCAATTTATGATGTATAAATTGAATATGATTCTATTTCGTTATATGGTTTATTTATATATATACAAACATATGTTTTAATTTTAATTAAAAGAGAGAAGTATAGTTTTGAAAGACCGAAAGTCGTCGTGGAATATTAGTAAAATAGAGAGATGATAATATTTTGTTCCACTGTAGATTGCAAAATTTATTTCTTTGAACCTTGTAAGCCGAGATTAACAAATTCAGAGCTCAAATTTCTTAACACATCAATAGATTATTTAACTCCTACTCTAAACCTATAGTATAGTATAAAATTGTATGTATTTTATAAATATGAGAAGAAGAAACCATAGTTAACGAACTCAAACCTCTATAGACCTACGTCTTAAATATTCTAAAATAACGGCAATTAAAAGGCTTCCGTACGCTCAATCGATTTGTATATATATCTGTATATATAAAAAACTCGGAGAAACGGATATTAGCCATCTCAGCAAATTTGTTATAGGCTGAAAGCGCTTTGTCGATGTGTAAGGGTCTTATGATCCAGCTTTATAGGAGTTTTTGTTTTTTGTTTGTGGTACCTACAACGGACCGGCGTTCTAAGCTGTCCAAATGAGATCTTTTTTAGGATAGACCTTCCCACCTAACTTAACCTGGATCGATATCTACCCTAATGTGAGATCGATATCTCAAAAATTTAGGGACTAATTCGCGTATATATAGATGAACAAGTAGACGGACATGGCTAAATTGGCTCAGCTCGTCGCGCTGATAATTTATATACATATTTACATACTTTGGAAGGTCTCCGACGTTTCCTTTTGATGATATAAACCTTGTTGCAATCTTAATATACCCTGTATTGGGAATACATATATACTAAAGTGGTCCTAAAGTTCAATCGATATATTTACAGTTTTTCTTGGCCAATAAAATTATATTGACTTTTTCTTACTTATACTTTTCTAACATTTATTTTAGAGCTTTCACGTTTTTTTGGAAAAATAACCGATATATTTTAAAATTTGATCGATATTTTGAGATTTTTTCCTTTTTTACCAAAATTAAATGATATTTGAAACATAAAATATTAAAAATTGTGTGAAAAATCGATATATTTACATTTTCGATAACATTTTATCGCTTTTTTACTTTTCAGCCAAAACTGAAAGATATTTTATAAATTTTTCTTTATAGTGAAAATCCATTATATTCATATTTATATTTTTACTTAATATCGGTATTTGTTATACTTTTCTAATTTCTTTTTTTACATTTTCCTTTCTTCTATTTATACATATGTATATTTAATATTTTGTGATCTTTAATAAGGTATTGAATTGTTAGAAAGTGTGGAACCACGTGGATCAAGAGGTTTAATAAAACAAGAGCAGTGAACTAAATCCAGAAATAATTCAGAAGCTCCGCTATCCTTTCTCAACTGTCGATTAAGTAGCTGTAAATGCAGCAATAGCAACCGCGCATCACAAACAATGATAACATACTGTAACGGCAACTGCTTCCTTCATTGTTTCAGCTACCGCGAAAGCACTTAAACTTGCCCCCAATTCATGAAAGAGCCTCCGGCCAAAGGTGTTGTTCACAAAGGTTTGCAATGGCAACAACAACAAAAAATGGAAAACTATAAAATCAAAAAACGCGAGAGAACGAAAAGTCACTGATAACGGTAAACTTTGAGAATTTGTATAGTGGCCAGAGGACAACAGTTTCCGTCTGAGGGAAATTTTTATGGACAATTTAAATGCAAATTTCTGGCTTTTTATGCCTTGTGATTATGACGCTTGCTGCCGCCGATAGTGTTGCAATTTCGTGCAATTTCTTCGTGTTATTTGTTTTTATTTTTATAATGCGTTAGAAATGAAAAGGCGAACATGGGCGCAGAAACAGGAAATTAAGCACAGAGTTGGTTTTTATTTCTCTATGCATGTCTATTGAAGAAGTCTACAAATTTATATTTTGTTATTGTACGCACTTGAAATCCGGACCGCTTTCGGTTACTTGGACCCGATTGTCGTGGGAACTCTGAGTAGTAGTATCTCATGGTTACTAGCAATTTTTCCGTATAAGTCTTAAGCAAAAAAGCAAATCTGTTTTTCCACTGGCAGCCTAGAGAACCGATCTGATTTAAAAAAGACTCGTAAATTAGTTGTCTAGCCAACAAAAACACAATATAAGAAATAATTACAAAACCACTGTTGGAAAGATTTTCAAATATTGTTATTTTTCATTATTTGCAAAGCTATTCCAAGGATCATACATTTTTTATTAATAATATCAAAACAACATAAAGACTAACATTACGTCATCAAGATAGCAATCGTAAAATAATATTTGAATACCATACATACATGTATGTATATATTCATTAAAAGTTTACTTATTTTAATATTATTTATTAGCACTATCTTTAAAAGAGTAATTTATTTTAAAGAAAAAAAAAAATATTTTGAGGCATGAGCATATGGAAAAAGCTGGGTGAGAATTTTAAAATCGAAAAGGTCAATCGCCTAAATAAACAATCTTCATTTGAAAGCACAAATATTTGCTTATAAATCGTTTACCATTTTTATACGCAAATCTTTCGAGGCAAATAGATTTGTATACACGAGGGTAGTACGATATATCGTTCTATTTTCAACAGAACTGAGCCAACTGAGTTTTGACTTTTTTTGTAATTACTTCATAACTTTTATTATTTTTCTTGAAAAATAATTGATATATTTATATTTATACTATATATATATATATGTATATATATGTATACATATTTATATCGATGTTTTGTGAATTACACTTTTTCGGCCAAAAAGTTTTTATATTACTTTTACTTTTTTATTATTTATTGATACTGATTTTTTTTTTATCACCGATAACATATAATCGATATTTTGTGATTTTCACTTTTGAAAAATATTCACTTAACATTTTTTCTTAATTTTGTGATAACATATAATCGATTTATTTAAATTTTTAATTAAGCGAAAATTTGTAATCTTTACGTTTTCAACCAAAACCTAATGTGAAATTTTACATTTTTCGTTTACGCTGAATATAAAAAACTGAAACAATAATATTTTCTTTACGGATATTATTTTATCGACATTTTTGACAAATACTTTTCTAAAATTTTGCTTTTATTCATTTATACTTTTACCTTACTGATAAACTTTAAATAAATCGAATTGTTGTAACTTATGACTTTAACTTTTGCAAAATGATCTTTTTTACATTTGATTTCATTTTTTTTTTGTTTTTTTTTTTTTTGGAAAAACAAATGATTTATTGACATTTTTTTACTAACAATTATAATTAATTTATTTCTAGAAAAATGGGATGCCTACTCCATAAAATAAGCTGCTCTTTTTCTGTTGAGGGAATTCACACTTCTTTTTTGATTACAATATATAATATATAAAGTTATCACATGGTTGCCTTTTTGCTCGAGTCCAAGCAATTACGGTTCATTTCGGATTAATTATGAAGTACAATTTTATGTTGTCCAACGATCTGACCCACCGTCCAACTTCTTGCCTTAGATTTATTGATATAATATTTTCCTTTGGACTTTTCAATTTTTAGCGACTGCCGATATAATTATATAACACGTTCTTTATGTTACTCTTTCTCAAGATCGACCGTGCTTTCTCACATAATTTTTAGGCAAAAACCTGAAATCTGCGAAACTCCTTGCCAAATCCTCGACAACGCTTGCTCGACATATGACAGTACCCTTCATTTAGCTGACAGTTGATAGAAGCAACGTTGAATTTGAATCTATTAAAAGCGTAATGGACTTATGTAACAGTACTCGTATTCCTAACTGTGTGGGTGCCTTTGCGCTCTGCATTATAATGAGCAGCTCAGGGCGCTCGACAGCAGGAAAATTGTGATTGCTTGCGGCCAAGCTAATTTAGAATGGAAACGAAAAACAACAACTCTAATAGCATAAAATATTTTTTTAGCCTTTTATGTTGCATGCAACAGTATACTCTTATGCGGAAACTGTATACATGTAGTACGGAATTTAAAGACGTCACTTTCAGTTTCGCGTTCATTTACCTGTGCCAGCGACCCTTTGACGACTCACAACACTCCAGCTGTCACAACTTTTGTTGTTTTCAATGATATGTTATGCAATGTTCCTTGTAGTAAGCGAATGCAATGTGCAATGTGACGCTGTAATAGTTCTACGACTTGTTATTGTTGTATTACATGTGCTCGCACCAAAATCTCGCCTTCGGCTACAAATTCACACGTTCCTTGCAAGCGCCATTTTGATGCTGTTGCACCTATTGTAACGCACCTGGTTAACACTTATTGTTTTATGTGTGTAGGTGTGAGCTTGTATTCAAGTTAAGCGTTAAAGTTAAGTGTTACTTTTCCTATTTTTGTAACCCAAACCACGTGAGCAAAATGGTCGGATGAGCTAAATATGAAAGTAGATATACGTTAGGTGCATTTTTGATTTTCAAAATCTGCTATTTTTTATTTAAAGTCAAAACAATACTAAATGTGAAATCTTTTACGTCTGCTTCCGGGATTTTCATGAGAGTCACTTCATCGCAGCCCTATTATTTTATTATTTTTCGTAGTAAATTTTGGAGACCAAGGTCCCATCCACCCACCAAAATTCTAAAAATTTCAAATCTTACATTATCAAAGACGGGCTAAAAACACTAGGTTAAACTTTGAGTAAATACTTTTTTAATTCTGATATCGAAACCCTTTCTTTTGGTTAAAAGAAATTTCGAAGTGTTTGAGAGATAAACTATAATAGCATTTGAGCTACAGTCTTTACTCTCGCAATATGTCACTTTTTTAAGATTTCTTATATCTGAATATCAAGCGTGGACTTACCGATAATTAAAGTAAAATTTGTTTAAAAAAGTGAAACTGCGCTCTTCCTTATTTTAACAGCATAATCCCTGCAGAATACAAAGACTCCATATAGAGATATTTTTATGGTCTTTTAAACAACTTTATGCAAGAGAAGATCATTGTACCTGGTAATATATATAAATTTTTACAACAAGATTTAAGGCTTAAAAAAAATTTAAGAAACATGAAAGGAGAAAACAAAAAGTCAGTACTATTTCATTTTGTGGTTCTCATTCTGTTAGTTACCATTATTTCTTTATTCAACTTAGTGGGGAGCCCGAACGTTAACAATTGAAACTTTCAATAAGAAATTCTGTTTTGTTTTACACTCGCTCGAATGATAGTATTTATTGGGATTTATTTTCCCTTTTTTTTATCAAATAATCAGAATGTTTGGCAAAAGGTTTAAAAAGAATTCTAACGCCAATAAAATGGTTGCCGGTAAGTCGAGCCAGACAATACTTGCAAGAAACAGATTTCGCGTGGTGGACCGATTGCGTCTCTAAACGAAAAAAGAAGGCCAGGATCAGAGAGACCATTCTTTTTGTTGGTTGGCAAACGAAGTGTGGTGTACTCATTAGTGGTGTCATCGTGTTTGGTGTAGTCGTGTGTGTATATATTTGTGATGCTTGTGTGTTTTAGTGTTCCTAATAGTGGTGTATTGCGTTGTATCAGTGATGTGGTTTTTGGAGTAGTGTGGTGATGTGGTGAGTGCCGTGTGTTAATGTTGTGTTGGGGTGTATAATTTGGGGGGAAGGTTATTTAGGCTTATTTTGACAGGAAGAAATAATATTCCTCGAAAGAATTAATGAAAAAACATATGTATATTGAGAGTTTTCTTAAAAAATACGCTCACTGCACGTGTGCTCTTTTTTGCTTTCTCTTACACTTTCTCTTCCTCTCTTTTTTTCAACCTCTTTCTTTCTCCTTGGTTCATTGGTAAGCCGAGTTCCTTAAACCTTCCTTTTAGATACCAAAAATTTAAGTTTTGCTCAAAATCTGTGTTATGTAAACTGAGTTTTTATCCACCTTTCTCATAACAATTATTATTGTACAAGCGCTTAGTTTCAATTGCTTTTCACCCACTCGAGTGCAATTAGTGCTGGCTTTCGCTGGCTGCCTGCAATGTGACCTTTGAACTTACAAGTTCTTCCCAAATCACGATTTCAAATTAGTCGCTTTGTCTTCTGTAGCAAACTATGTGTGTATGTGTGCATCTGAGCGTGAGTGTGTGTGCAAGTTCTGCCCGAAATTTGCATTGCCAGAGGGCAACGGAAATCTTTTGATGCGTATTGCGTTTGCGGGTTAATTAGCCTAAATGTATGCAACAATTTTAATGTTGCTGATAAGAAAGAATCAGCTATTGCCATTCTAAATAGTTTTTATTAGTTTTTATTTATTAAATATGAAATGTTAAATTTAAACATAATATTCTTAATAAAAATCTTTAAATACAGAAGAGCGGTTAATGCGCTAAGGACTAGTTTATTTTTATAAAGTTTTGTTGTTGAATCAGCAATATTTTCGAATAAGATTTGACGCAACTTATTAATTAAATAAAAAATCCAAAAAAGAGAAAACTTAGTAGAAACGATTGTGCAACAGAATGGTGATCCTCAGATTTATATACTCTCGCAACCTGTTGCTACAGAGTATAATAGTTTTGTTCACCTAACGGTTATTTGTAACACCTAAAACTAAACAAAAGTTCCTATTTCCTATATAACACCATTTTAAATTCCATCTGATTCTAGCACTTTCCACTATGCAAATCAATACGTTTAAAGTATCTTGTGACCAAAAATTGTCTAAATCGAACCAAAACTGTTTAAGCCTTTAAGTATTGAATATGTGGACCCTAGTGCCTCTAGTTGACTTTTTACCGAATATATCGGTCAATGTGTAAGATATATAATTGAAATTGATATAACAAAATAAATTAAGGAAACTCTCGATAATAGTATGTTTTTGTGTCAATAATGGGTTGAATCGGATCAATACTTCCTTTAATATAAAA